AGTGAGCATTTCTCCAACTACCGTAGCCAAACAGAAAGTGTTTCCACACATTCCATGCAATACAACCCCACACTGATGCACAGGTCAAAGTCAGGAGTGACAATACAGGGTCCCTCCCCCATTACTGAGTTAGTCCCATCTGGGCAGATGGCAAAAGAACTCATCACCCTGTTGAGTTCTCTTACGCTAACAGCTGGAATAGCCATATCATAAAACAAAATACACACAGAAAAGGCCAGGCAGAAGCCCAGGAGATGAGATAGAAGCAGCTAAACAGGCACATCCAGCAGTGCTGAGTTTTGTATTTCACTGTTCCTCCATCCTGCCATGAAGCAGGCTAAGAACAGCTCTATGCCCCTGAGCACACTATGCTCAGGAACACCTTTGCACCACCAATAACTCAGGAGCGCTCATCACTTACTCCTTGACTCGACTTGCTCCTTCTGGGATTTCTTTAAAGTCATCCTTCACATTACAGCAGCTTCTGCAAGCCATGAGGAGTCTGAAGTGGTGGGTCATGAACACACGGTGCATGTGCCCATAACACTGAGACAACTTCAGCAAACTGAAGAGAGAGTCTCTGATGTGTTAAGGATCAACACAGCGTTCTTCTGAATGAGCCACACAATCTGGCAGGGCTCCCTCCACCATCAATATCAATTACCTCCATCAACAGGAGACAGAATAATAGCAACTTCCCCTACATAATGCAGCCCTTAATTGTCCCAGATCAAGTTCTGGCTCCCAGAAGCTATTCATTCTGCTCTATAGGCAACCATGCCTAAACAAGATGCAAAAACTTTTAGCAGTTAATGTTAAATGCTGCAGGAAGCCCCGAAGGCACGTATGGAGACTGCTAATAACATCACTGCACTTGCTCTAACTGAACACGGAAACCACTGGTGAGAGCAATGTGGGTACTCCAGAAAACACTTGCTCTTGTTCATTTGAGAGGCAGCAAATCCATACCAGCACTGCCAGATCAGGTTCCTCCCCCCCCCCATCAACGTCGCGATGCCTCTGATTCTCCTCCTAATGACAAAGTCTTCATTGATTTCAGCAGAACTCAGCAAGACCTAGCAAAAATGAACTAAAGAGGGAAATGTCAAGTGAGTCATTAGCAGGTAGAGAAAGGGACTGTGTAGTAAGTAGTCTTCAACGTGCTTTTCCTCCTTTAAAGGATGGCACAAATTGAGGGAATCCTTTGGCATTAGTGAAGCTATAGCAATAGAGCCCTGCATGGTCTGCAAGAAAGAGGAATTCATCTACTCAAAGGAGTTACTAATGCCAAATGCCAATAAATACATAGATAAAATTAACCTGCTTGTTTGGAAACCTCTAGATGGGAGTTCAGATCTTAAATACATGTGCTGACCAAAACAGAGAAGCAAACAAACCAGCACCAAAACAGAAGTTTTCCCAACTTCAAATACCTAAGAAAATTGCTTTAATCTGTTGGCTGTTATTGCCAACATTACGACCTTTCTGTTGAGCAGAAACTTGGATGCCAAAATGGGAGAAGAACCTATTTCCCATCATTAGCATGAGCAGGCATGGTCCTGCTATCTAACTCCATTAGAGCACTTATGTGTTTTCCTTTGAACATCCTTTGGTGCGTACTTCCATGCATGCCCCTCTTTGATTTGATTTGCCCTCGGTTACCACAACACAGCCTTTTTTCCTAGGGCTGGTTACTACAGCAACAGATTCTGAGTTTGGTAGCAACACATTGTAGGCATCAAAAAAATCTGCAATTAGTTCAAGAAACATGAAGCTACATGTTAGCAGCCCATGCCACAGAGATATCTTCCTGTAATATCTCATCCTGTCTTTCTAATTATGAAACTCCACGAATCCCCACCTTCTTGGTAGAGCACAAGCCTGAGCAACCTCTGCCTTCAAGGGATGCACAACAGAGGAGCACTACCCACCATCTCCTGTGTGCCAGTCATGGCAGAGAAACCACAACAACCCAGAGTTGATGGATTTCATGGCCAGAAATATATTGTATTCCACAGATGCTATTACTTGCACTAGCAATTAAAATCAAATTTTCTCTTTAAATTCCATATGGTATCACATCTGCACTCTTCTGCACATATGTACCAGTACTAATACTGAAAGAAGGTTTGGGGAGGTGTATTTGGGGTTGTTTTTTTTTGTTGGTTCTGTTTTGTTTTAAACTAGAGGAGTTTTCCTATATTATAATTTCTCTGCATAAGTTACTCCACTTAATTCTTGTAAAACTTGGAAGCAAGGAAAAAAGTCTCAGTGCAGAGAGTTATTTCTATCTAATTCTCTACCTTGAGACACAAGAGGGTTTTTATTGCAGCAGGTGAACAATTACTAGTACTTGGCTGTCAGGTAAGGGACTGCTTTTTGCCCTCCAGCTACAATACGGCCCAAATGCACCAGGTAACATACTCAACGTTAGCAATATACTACAGACATCATCGACTGGTCAGTCTGATCATATCCCGGCCACAGCCCACCATGACAGAAAGTTCAGCCAGACTATTACCACTGTTACTAATTAGTTCCTATCCTGAGAGAATAACCTGTGCCAGATTTGATCCCAATTTAAACTGAGGGAACTTCACCAGAAACAGGTTATCCGGTTACACAGTGTAGCCCCTACCGAGTGAGCATGCTATTATGAGAAAGCAAACTGATATAAATATAGCTCGGTGACAGTATACACGCTGCAGTTATTTCCTCTGCAAAACAGAGAAGAATGAAGTGGGTAAGCTGCTCAGCCAGCTTTCTGCTAAGGCCACGGAAAATTGCATTCATGACATCAACCAAAATAATCACTTAAAGACAAATCTGAACAAGTAATTCTCAAACAATATTTTAAACTGAGAAATCTCACCTCCCTCTCAAGTACTCATAAACCTGAGGAGATATGTAATTTCCACCACCTTCTTTTCCATTTAGATTCATTCACAGGATAGATTTTTTCCCCCTCTAGTTTTTTTGCCTGTTACCTTTTATTTTTTACTAGGCAAATTGACTGCTGTTTGATGTAGGAATTAATCAGCCCACATCTGTAAACCTACTTGTGCAGGTAGGCTGGGACAAGGCAGATATTGAACTTCATTGTTGGTATAGCTGGTTGGTTGAGTACGGCTACACATGCGCTCTTCTGCAACCCAGAATTCATATGCAGAAATTATGATTTTCATAGCTAAAGCCAGTAAAGCAAACACCCCATAATTGCTTGGTGGTTTTTTTTAACTCTGCATGTAAAAGGAACATGGGTAGAAGCATATGTCTGAAGGAGAAATAATGAAGCATATAGTAATCAGAAATCATTTTCTGGCAGCACTTTCCCAGCTACAGTTGAACTGCCAACTTTAAAGAAGTTATTTTAGCATACAAGATGAATGTATCTCAGGAGCAAAAAGAATCACTCTTCCTAATCCTCCTCTCATGCATCCTCGTCAATCCTCTTCTCAGACATGAAGCATTGCTTAAAAACTGCCCAGGAACAGACTGAAAGAAGTTGCTGCTTCTCTATTTATAATGGATAATCTTAGAATCACTCTTAATTCCAGCTCATCATTTATGGTGTTGGCAAAGTTACTCCAGTAAATTTAGTCTCATCATTCACCTTTGGGTTGTACAGTATCTTGTATTTTATTTATCATCCTGCTTCATCCAGTGGAACCTTCACAAGTGCTTACAGAACCAAGTGAAGGTGAATAATGATCCAGGGAGAAAGCTAAACACTGAAATACTACGATTTTATGGTCAGTTACAGGAAACATGGACACACTTTGAATATGCAGAAGAATCTCTTTAAGCAAAGGAATAATAGATCCAGGAATGCCACAGGTTGTTATATAGTTGTCTTTCCAACAGGCCTCTATGCTACCCCAAGACATCAAACATCATTCAGAAAGTCAGAGGGACTCTCCGTTTTTGCTGTCTATAGTCACACCTCAACTGTGTTCAGTTAGGCTTGGGAACGTGATAAAAATATCTTTGGAATAAAGAAAAACCAGCAATAGGATCATCCGTTCAGTTGAAAGCCACGTCAAGATAGGGATGATGGGACAAGTTCTGGTTACTAGAAACATAGTTGGGTTACTAACAAGCACAGAAGGATCACATTAATGGCAGCACACGCTTTACTGATCTATTGCATGGGAACCACCTATATGGAGACAAGTCCTCCAGAAAGAAGAATGAACCAAACTGGTAAGCTTTTTTTGAAGGACAACTTCACCACAACATCCTCTTCAAACCTGCTGGAGAGGGTACTACTGCTGAAACCTAAAAGCACTTCACTCAGTAACAGGGATGTTTCATTGAGTAACTGAAGCTATATTTCATCTCTTAACCATCTGGAAGGACTTTGCAACATGATCACCAGAATCATGAGCTCTACTTCAGGCTCACTGTATCTCAAAATAGACCTCACCAGCTTCCGCATCCCATTCCGTTACAGGGATCACATTATGTGGGGTTCTGCCACAGCAGGCTGGGTCACAGCACCTACTCTATCACAGGCACTTCCTTGCTAAAATGTGATGGTCATAGTGACAAGACATGTCTCTTCTCAGTATCCTTATACTGCAATGATTACTCAGAGACAAATGCTTTGAACAGGAGGGAACTAGGTTACGCTGGGGGGAAAGAATCATCCTCACATATGCCACTTGGAAATTCTTCAGCTAAAACTCAACCATAAGCCACCAATAACAGAATTTAAAGCAATCTGGGCAAACCCAATAGGAGTGAGCATCTTTCTAATAATCCAGTAATAATCATCATGGCTGTCAATTTTTACCATTGCTACAATACAAGCAAGTATCACTGTGTTTCTCTGCTGCTTACAACAGGTTCATGTAGAGACTCATGCCAAGTTACCTTCACAAACTTAGAACATGGAGAAGAGGACTCAAGGCATCCCTTGCACTGGTATCAAACAGAAAACAAGAGCAAGATGCCAGCCCATAAAGAAAGCCTTCAATAAGAAGTCCAGAGAGACTTACCTATGTACAGGGAGGAATCTTTCCGCCTCACATGGTCATCAATGTAGGAAACTCCCAGGGGCTGGACAGGGGTAGCACCAATGCCCAGGAGGACCTGTGCTCCAATAAGCAGCAAGTACATCATGTTGGTAGCAGTCCTATTCCTGCAGATAAGGTCCGGGTCTGGTCCCTCATCACTGGTGGACCCGTTGGCAGCACACACATCCCTCCCTTCAGCCCCCCAGCGTATTTCTCCCGATTCATATTCATACTGGTGGGTCAGAAATTCAGGCAACGCGGAGAGGAGGGCACCCAAGGCCATGACAATCCCTCCACATCCTATCAAGCGTGGCCGATGTCCTCGGGCTCCGAAGTAGCTCACGAAGAGGATGAGGGCCAAGTTGCCGATCTCGAAGCTGCTGGCAATGACGCCCACATCAGCACTCTGAAGGTTGAATCGCCGCTCCAAGGTGGTTAAAACACTCACCTACAACAGAGAAATCCAGAGAAAATTACTGAAAGGGAACACAACCTGCCTTCTGTCCTTCCCATATGTCCTGCTAAATCATAAGTTTCCTTGACTTTTCCTTGGAGCCAAAAGCATACACATCAAGGACAACCAAATCACACTACAGCAGTAGCTGACCTCCAAGCATGATCTGACTATTCAAATACAGCCACATCAGAAGGTCCTAATACCAAGTGACATTTCACGGCCTACCACCTGTCTGAGCACATGTTCACTTCCAAATTCCTGCGCACATCAATGTATATTTGGGATGCCTGCAGACACCCACGAACCCACGACTGGTCAGCCTCTCTTTGCACTTCCTTTCTATTCAAACTCACAGCCTTCACGTTGCAAATTCTGTCCCACAAACCCAACACATGGCACAAACCACACCGAGCCTCGCATCATGCTGGGCACCCAACCTTTCTCTTGTTCCCTTAGAATGAACTGCAGTTAGCAAGCAACAGAAAACCTTGCAGGTACCTGGCTCACACACACACACACAAGGTCTTTAAGTCAGAGACAGTAACGCAGAAATAGGCAATTTGGCCAGCACAGGAGGCTTCTATTGAAGTATATAAATAAAATGCTGATCAAAGGGTTTAAACTGTTTGGGGATTAGTTAATGACTGGCATCATCACATGGTATTTTTGAGAAGAGAGGCCAATTAAGGTTTACATAGAAGATTTAAATCCACCATGAAGAAGGGAAGATTTAACAAAAAATAGTTATTTAACACTGAAAGGAGCACATGAATAGTCTTCAAATATTTACTATTGCTGCAAAAAGGAATGACCTTTCTTTGCATTTTAAAGGGAGAAGACAAGAAGTGGCAGGTTTAAACTGCAGCAGAGATGATTCAGGTTGAATACAAGGTGGGGAGAAGTCAGACTTTTACTGGTAAGGATTGTGAAGCACTGGAACATGCTGCCCTGAGAGGTTGCAGAGGTCTTTGAAAGAGCATAGACCAGCATCTGTCAGGAAAGACATAGGTATGACTGATCTTGCTCTAGGCAGGAAAATGAACCAAGTCATCTCCTGAGAGCTCTTCCAGTCTTGGTTACACAGCACAATGAAACACAACATGGATTGCCTGCAACAGTCATAGCACTGATTAGAGTATGAAGATGAAACATTACGTACCTCACTTGCTGCCATCCCTGCTCAAGGGAGAAAACTCAGCATGTCCTTATGTCTATAGCAGTGTCCCCCTTATACAGGGGAAGGAACAAAAGGGGAAGAAACCCCCCCACAAAAGAAATCTTGAACATGCCACAGAAATGCCAAAAACTTTTACCTTGGATAAAAGACTCTTGTTTTTCACACTGCGAAAGATGAAGATATTTAAGGTTATCCTAAAACAGGCAGGTTTCTCTATCAAAAAAAAAAAAGAAGTGATAAAGACCTCAGAGCAGAAGGTAGCCCCTGGGTAGAACAAAAATAGCCTCCCTCTGGAGGCACTGAAAATCTTTGCTGATAAACCTCACGAAGCAGGAGCCAGTCTGACCGACTTTAAAGTATTCTGACAGCAGCTCTTTTCCGGGGGCAGTTAGCCCCTGTTAGGGTACACCAGGGCACTGCTGGACAAAGACAGCCCCATCGGCAACACAATGGAAAACTGGAAACAACCCACTTCTGCTGCTTTGCATAAGCAAAAACTCCCACATGTGACCCTGAGAAGTGTCCAAGTCAGACCTCCCAAACTGGACTGTTTTAATGATTTCTGAAAATTCAGCCTTTATCTCATACAGTGAGTTCTTATTTTATACTACCACCGCAATCCTCCCGCACTAAAGAGCCAAGAAATGAGCAAGGCAAGGAAAAAAAAACACCAAACCTAAAAATCAAACCCTATGACTGAAGGCAATTCAATAGCAGTAACTTTTACCCCACACCAAAGCCAAGTGAAGATGAGGTCAGAGGAAATGGAGATCACCACTTCATCTGAACGTGGACCACAGGTACCCGTTGGGATGAAACAGCTCTGTGATTCACCAGGGGAAACAATGTCCTCTTGTGCAAGGGCACAGCACAGCCTGTCCCCTCTACAGAGACCTTGGCTGCAGTGCTGGGTGAGCAGTGCTTGAGCATACATCTAACAATGACATTGCTGTTCCCAACCCTATGAAACCCTCCCTATGGGAGCCAGGGCAATGGAGCTGAGCAGATGGGACAGAAACTGCTAGAAACCCCTATGTTGGTATTTTTGAAGCAAGGCAAACCCAGGTGGAGGAATAGGGACAACATTCTATTGCCCCAGACAGCCTTGCCAGGCACTCATGCAACAAAGCCACATTTATCACCCACTATACACGACTGGTTTTATTGCAGGAGGTGATCTATTGAGGTTGGTGTAGTCACACTGGTAGGACTCCAGACTTCAACGCCACACAGCAAACACCAACAAACTAATCCATGCAAAACCCCTGCCATGGGAGCCCCACTTCATGCTGCCACCGCCAGCATGTCCCTAAAGGAACTCAGCTGTAGCTGAGGTCCCACAAACATAGATTTTGGCAGAATTTTGGGGAATCTCTCCAAGATGAGTAAAACACTCTAAGCATGCAAAATCATGTCTGTGGTACTCATTTCCGAACTGTACCTAGATAGGAAACTCATAATTACTCATTACAGCTGTGTAAACTGAGACATTGAGAGCCAAATATTAATGAGACAGGTACAGTCAACAGAATTAACTTGTGATGGAGTAATTTGGGCTGGAAGAGTGAAAGCCAACAGAAGTGATTTCCCAAGGCCAAGGCCACTGGTATTAACTAGCTTTGGAAGTCTCTTCCACATTTCAAACTGGCTGTTAAATTTTAAGCCTTACCATATATATATATATGTATATGTATATATATATACACACACACACACACACACACATGTGGCAAGAAGCAGGATGGTGTTTAGAAACACTTGGGCATCACACCTTACAAGCATCAGATTTTGACAGCTGCATTTCAGATATAAAGAACTGCATCATTTCTAAGTGCAGTTCACAGTGACAGAGACAGTAAGTTGGTGGCAAACCTGGGAACTAAAACCAGAAGTGCAATTCTCATTCTGCTCTTATTTCTGTGGAACTTCAGTTGTTCTCTTCCTTTTTACAAAAGCTAAATCACTCACAATAGGGAAACAGAGTCTCAGCATCCCCTAACTGTTTCCTGCTTTGGTGAAGAGACTGAAACAAAAGGAAGACAACACTGCAAATCGAACTCCAACCCTCCAGATGAAAGCTGGCAGGAGTTCTTATTCCTCTGGCCAGACCACACTGCGTTTCCCTGCATGCTCCTTCTGACTGTAGCACTGCCACGCAGTGATACCAGCTCTGCCTTTATTAAGCAGGGTATGTGGAGCAGGGGTGAAAGGTGAAGAATCAAAACCATCACATCAGCTTTGAGCATCCAGAGGAAAACAGTATCCAAGTACGAAGTGCAGAGACCAGAATCGGCAGAGTAGCCTCCAAAATACTGACAGTCATGGGGAAAAAACAAAACAACATGAAATATCCCAAAATAGGTTTGGGAAATAAACTGCAACATGCAGATTTTTAGCCAGCGAGCACCAGGAACACAACTGCGTTACGTCCAGAGTGGCTGCAGCCAAGACAGCACAGCCCAAATTCTTCCTTTGACATTGGCTGTGACCTTAAATACACAGGCCGACTACAACATCTGCATTAGCACAGCAGAGATGCTACCTGCATTGATTCCAAGCAACCCTCTGCCCATGGACAGAATCATTCTCCCACCCTCCTCTATACCCTAGCTTTATGGGGCTTTCTGCATAGAAGGTGTAACCTGACAAAATACTTGCAGTTTGCAGGTAGGATGCTCCTGATGCCCTTGTAGCTGTTAGATAAAAGAGCACTGTGCTGCCTGTATTTCCTTTCACAAGCCTGCTCCCCAGCAGATAAGCCATCACTCCTCCCAGACACTAACTCTATTTATCAAGAGTTATGTAAACTGTTGCAAAAGACATGACAGGCCTCTGTAAAATACTGACATCATGTGAAAAGGCTGCAAAGATTATAGAGTCCGAGACCAGGTTGATCATTCAGGAGTGCAGCCCATGTAGATGTTGGTTTAAAAGCAGGGACACAGGGAATAGAGTGGTGCAGCCGCACAGTGGCTTGAGATGGACAACCTCCTGCTAAAACACAGCAGGAAACACCAGGAGGCCACCTTATTAGCTATGAAGCTGCTATTTCCTGGCTCCTGTCAATTTACACAGCTGTTTTGCCAGGGCTGGAAAGAATAGATTAAGAGGATATTCAGTTAAAAAAAGCTTCAAACCTAAATGAAACCAGTTATCAGGAAGCTATTACAACATCCAGTAAAATTCACGCTGACAAGATACATGAGACGCATGACCCCAAAAGTTAGTGGTGTGAAACCACCCACTGCAGCAGACAAATTCAGAGAAGGCATGAGAGGACAGAGGCAGAGACAGCGGTGTAATCGTGGCAATGCCAGTGCCGACAATGCTGGGAACAGCACTGAAACTACTGAAGCTTCATATGGGTATGTGCCTATGCTAAGGGCAGCTGTACCTTGCCTGCGACTCTTACGTCCTTGTGTTTGTCCTGCAGATCAGTCCTTAGCAGGTCACTGAGGCTCTGCCCAGCAAAGCACTTTAGCTCCATCACTGTACACAGTCTCGTTGCCTTTTACATGTCTCAAAGCCTCCACCACCCACCTTGATAGGAACTGGTTTTCTGTCTCTAACCGCATCCTGTCTCCAGTGGGACTCCCATTTGACCCACTCCAGACACCTCCCACCCAGTTTTAAAGAGCAGCTCTACTAAGATTAGCTACGGCATTAGAGAGATAACTGGACTGTGTGGCTGATGTTACTGTACAAGTTCATGCTCCCCTAGACTAAATCTACAGCAGATCAGTCACTTGGACCACCATAAACTACATCAAGTTGGGCACCTGCACATCTTGCTCATGCAGAAAGCAGGCTTTCT